TCATATTTTGTTCGTCCTCTGGATATCTTTCCCTTGCAAATATTTTGGATTTTTTTTAATTGTTTAATTTTTCTATCGCTTACACGTACAGTGGATTTTAAGTTCTCTGTTTCTCTCCATTTTTTGGCGATGATTCTTTCTCTGTTTTTATGTGCAGTTTCTTTCTCAATTCTTCCTTTTGCTTTCTCTTGCGCTGTTTGTGAATCCAAATGTTACTCAATTGGCTCTTGAATTGGCTTAAAGAGCAAAATCTGAACAACAAACCTTACTCAATCGTTGAAATCCATGGAGTCAAGTTAACCGATTGAACGATTAATGAGATAAATGACTGCTAAGTCTTACGAAGAGAAGCCATTGATCCTTCCAACTTCCAAGCTCTCTTGTATTGATTGTTTTTAGCGTTTCACAAACAGTATTTCCCCTCAAATCTCGCAAGTTCCTATCCATGTGCAAGTAAATTGAATCCTATTATAAATTTGGTAAAAGATTATCTTAATCTAAAACCCCTTTATCCCTCACAATTTTCATCAACCATTCTTGTCGTGACCTTGAAGAAGATGCTCACACCGCACGATTCCCATGGCTTTCATTTTTCTTTCCTCTCTCGAAAACCGTGGACCCTCCGACGCGCCCCCTTTTTTCAACTAAATTATAATCTACTAGACGCGTAATGCATCATCAACATTAACATATGATAATATAAGCTTGGACAGTATCCCTTGTTGTTACAGTAGTGGCGGATAATACAAATCCAACACCGATTTCAAGTTTGTTGTGTGTAATCATATATATTCTTTTTTGTTATTCCACTAATAGCCCCCTAACTTTACCTCATTAATGATGATGATGACAGGTAGCGAGGGGAGATGGATAAAGAGTCGCATATCCATAACAACCATGGCAATAGCAACAACAACATTGCTAGCGTTAGAGAAAGAGACAAAAGCGGAGGAGGGGATGGTGGACCCGGGTCGTTGTTGCTGAGGGGTGGCACCGATGGTATGAGGCACTCAACGACGTCGGATTTGGTGCTTCAGTGGGGTAACCGGAAGCGACTTAGGTGCATGAAGGTGCAGGTCAAACACGACTCTTCTTCCAACCCGGTTCAGAGAACAACGGTTCGGGTGGATCGGCGGGTGGTTAGAACCGAGAAAGATTCTTCAAATAGACCCTTACCCTTACCCTCTGTCGCTAATAACAACAATAATAGTAGTCACCAAAATAATAGTTTTAATCAGAGTAACGGGTATCTGAATCTCCGTCAACGGCCCCCTTCCCCGCAGCAACTTCCTCCGCGTATTCTCAGGTATTTTTGTTTGCATCTTCCCTCAATTTTTCTTCTGTTCAATAATTTTTAAGAAAAGAAGTAGAGGTGTTGGATTGAAAACAGATCAAACCAAGATAGGATTTACATGGACTTAAGAATGATATTGGATTGGTACTAATCTGATTTGATTATTTCGGTGTTTGAATTAGATCAATTATTTTTTAATTTTGCCTTACTTTTTTAAAGAATATTATTTTACCTTTTTTAACAAACGAATACAATTATATTAATTAAAATAAGAGTACGAATAAAATAAATTAAAATAAGAGTAAATCCGTAAATTATCGCATAAATTTTTTAGTCACTATTTTTTTTTAAAAGATGACTTTAAATAAAATATCAAATATATAATTTTTTTATGAGTATATCAAATATATAATAAATATAAAAACTCTGTTTAAACTTTCAAATCACAACTTGATTTAAATTATAAGTATTTTGTTTTCTATTAAAACAAATGTATGCGTATAATAATTATAATTTTCTTAGGATAAAATAACATAACTAGTATAAATTTAATATATTTATGCAATTAGATTTGATTTGTTTCGAAGATCGAAATGAGCTGAAAAATACGTTTTTTTTCCGTCTTTCTATTAACAGTTTGTTCAATATTTTTCTAATGATTTAGCAGTTTGAAATACTCGGTTCTCGGACATTTTTAGCAAGAATTTTGTTTGTTCTTATCGATATTTCCCATCATAAAAAATAATTTTTGATTTTATTCGTGTCCAATGGTCGGCTAATGACTTCAGATCTAGTCAAAAATCCGACTAGCTTGTAGGAAATAAATTATTTATAGGATTTGTGTGGAAGTGGTGGATTCATGTCTGCCACCGAATTTTGTGCGGGGGCCGACTATATGTGATGAAAGGCAACATGTAAGTCTCTTATGTCAGTCACAAAATCTTCAGCTTCAAATGTTACTGTGAATAAAAAAAAAATTGGGCGGTGATGACTGGTTTCCCAGTTAGATGATGATCCTGTCCTCTTAAGTAGCATCGAAGGTATTTGCTGCATTTGGGCTGAATATTTATCATGACTCATGAGGCTTATATTTTGTTCACTCTCCAATTGGTCAGGTCCTCGCGGATGTCTCATCCAAATTAAAGAGGAGCTCACGGTAAGTGCGTGAGGTCGTCTTCTTTTTTTTCCTCAATTTATTTCCAAATATTATTCTTACTACAATTTAGGAAGTTCGCATTAATGTGCAATGAATAATGGTTGCCTCACCAATGCCTTTATTAATTGGCTTTTGACTAGGAGTATAATGTTTAGAAGCCAATAAAAACAAGCAAATTGTTGTGCTAGTTCTGCGTTTGTGTGGTTGGGGAAGTCTTTGGTAACAAATCTGTCGATCTAAACTACGTTGAAGATCTGAATCTAAGCTTGCCTTTGCAATAGAAATTTTGATATTTCATAGTTGATATTCGTGATATATGACATCTTTTGGTGCTTTGTTTTCTGTCTGCAAATTGAGCCTTTAATAAACCCTCTCAGATCTTTATGTGGTATTTTATGATGTGGAATTTTGTGTAATTATTTTACCAGGTGGATTTGATTTTGATTTGATGCTTTTGTTTCACTGTTTATGATTGTATTCATATGATACATATTAAGTATAATACCAAACAAATAGGGTATGATGTCTAATGATCATGATTCATGGAGGTCCACTTTAATCCTTGGGAGATCACGTTTCATGGACCTTAGAAAAGTAGCTAGAACTTACTCCTCCTCCGTCATACCAGATCATATTCTAATCTAGGTCTACAACACTGTACCGGAACCCCTAATTATCATGAGGATTACTCCGAGTCTTTGTCGGGAACATGGAATGGAGGGTCTCCTTCCACGTGTTCATCTAAAGTCGTTTTCTACAAGAAAGCCCTTTGTGGCCGTTTGATGGGGTACCAGGTGTTGGATCTGGTACGACCCATTTTGTATTTTAACACGTAGTAAAGTAAAGCCCATCTTCTCTTCAATAGCCAATACTCTAGATCCAACGGCCCCAAACTTGCCGTGGAACCAGCTGTGCCCGTTATAAGGAATCACATGCACAAATCTCGCAAATATCCATCTAAATCTTTTCATCTTAGGAAGTTAAATAAATTAAAGGCACACCAGCCCCCGGTTTCTCAAAGCACAATACAAATACCTCCAAGAAGCCAAAAATCAGCCCATATTTTACGCAAAATCCGTTGATATCCCAATCCCAACTTCTTCAACCCCGCGATCTAGATCGACCCACAAGGTCAATTTGGTAAACCCACTATTCCCCTAAAGTTATTTTTCGTATAATTATTATTATTTTTTTTTCTAAACAACAAAAATACTTCTCAATGCATATTTGTTTTCCCTATTTATCACGTCGTGTTTCGCGTTCTTATACAGTTAAGAAACATATGGGATAATCATATGTGGGTTGTGCTATTTTTTTTTATATATATTTATTCATCTTACTTAGGAATTCGGAGAATTCAAGTGCTATGAGAGGAGGCCAAAGCAACGGGAGTGTTAGGGGAATTGCATCACCGGACAGGGGTGCGCACGATAAGAGAGGGACCCATAACAACCACCTTAATGACAATAATAACAAGTCTGTGGTCTCATCAGACACCGCGCACGATAGCAAGAAGGGTGGTGGTGGGTCGCCGTCCGGCAGTGGGGATGCTGCTCCGCCGATGTGGCTGCCAAAGTTCGTGATTGCCTTGACCAACAAGGAGAAGGAAGAAGATTTTCTGCTCTTGAAGGGTTCTAAGCTTCCCCAGAGACCCAAGAAGAGAGTCAAATTCGTACAGCGCACCCTCAATGTAAGCTCAACTACCCTTGTTTGCTTTACGTTCATTCCACTTTAATTTTGTTATCATATCTTCTCGATTAAGTATTTTTTATATGGACCATCTCTCAAATCTTAGATCGGAGAAATTATTGCATTAAACGTAATTAATTATAAAAGAATAGAGTTTTTTTATCACGTAACGTAATTTAGGATTTGAACTAAACGCTTTGTAAGAGTTGTTACGACAATCAACTAGAATAGTATAATTTTCTATAAAAATTGTTGCCTGACTTAATTATAATTAGTGCGTAGTGTTTTGGTGAACATACGATATTATGTGAAAATTCTTGTTTTTTTAAAACGTATGCAAATTTTAATGTAACTCGTCTATTTAATTTAATTGAGAGTAATGGATTTGGACATTTTTTTTAAAACACCTTACCTACATTTCTTATTTTTCTCCATTTTTTTCCTATTACATGTTTTTACCTACTATATCTATATATTTTTTTCTCCCTATCACCGGATGTTAAATAGCATTTGAGGAGCTTAAAAATCACTTTCCTTTAATTTACAAGGAGATCATACGAGATTTTCACCTAATAATAATCACGTTAAAACTTTAGCATCAGAAAATCCTTCTCAGATTGTTTTTTCAACTTTAAGCTCGAGGAAAGAAATAGGAATGAAATAGAGGGGGAGAAATAAAAAGTGAAGAGAAATAAATAAAAAAATTTGATGGTTTGGTTGAGAAAAAATATGTAAAAAATAAGTGAAAAATGTATAAGAAATAAATATATAATTATATATAAGAGATAAAAGACAAATAAATAAATAAATAAGTGATATTCATTATCTTTTAATTTCTGTCTTCTTTATTTATTTCTCTATCTGTCTCTTCTTTATTTTTTTCTCTGTCTGTCTCATTTTTACTCTCCTATTTTTATCCCCCTCCGTCTTATTTCTTATTATTTTTTTCTCTATCAAACAAAGTGAAAGATAGAATTTTGTATGCCATTCCTTCTGCTTTTTTTTTTAACATATTATGTGACTGTTGTACGGTAGTGGGTGTCTTCTCTTTTCTTTTACTTTTTAGACCTCTGCCTGGTTGGCAGCTATGGATGGGTTTACACGCGTCAGCGGAAGCCTGGTTCACAGCGAGTAGTGTGGGTCCAAAAGTTCTGTTAGGAAACTCAAAAGTCCAAACCCTAGTTATTGTAACATAATAAAGGTACTCGTTAATTAAACACTTGTTTAAAAATTAAAAATATCTTTTAATGAAAATCACGATGATAATATATTAAAAATTATAAAAATATATATATAAATCACACATGTATTTCTTAACAAAAATTGAAGTTTGATTTCTTACTCGTGAACTAGTTAGTAAATTTATGGATTGAATTTTTTAAAAGTTCAAACTAATAAATTCATTTTATAAAAGGGAATCAATTAATTAATTTTTTTTCATAAAATAGATCAGTTTGATGTTTTAAAAATATAGATTGGAATTTTATAAATTAGATTGATGTGGTGTGATTATTCACTTGTACTAGTATTTATTTAAAAGAAATTAAATTGAATTAATCTATTTTGTAAAAAAAAAATGGATAATCAAACTAGTTTTGCAAAGAAAATTGGTTCAAATTTTTTTTTTTTCCTAATGAATGGGATTGGTTTGGATTTTTTTTCCCCTAAGTATTACCTTATTAGTGGCAGTCCTACATGGTGACGAGGGTTTGCAACCCTCAGTTTGAAAAATTACGTGTGAATATATAATTTTTTATATTTTGCATCTCTTAATTTTATATATATGAACCTACACTTTTAATATTTTACTTATTATAAATAAATATCTAAGTTTTTTAATGTATTTTATCCTTCTTAATTTTATAGTTTTGAACCTATGAGTCCAAGATCTGGGCACTGACTTTACCTTTATAAAAACCAAGTCTGTAGAAAAAGTTATATATTCTTACTAAACTAAAAAAATATTACAAAAAGTCCACTAATAATATTTTTCCTTAACTAGTGTTATAGGTTAGCATTTGTCAATGAAAAAACTTTCTTTCTACTATAACCCAGATAACATTTATACATACTTAATCTTATTCAATTTTAATATCTGGCCTTGTAGAATTATGTATAGATATTAAATTATTTTTAAAAAAAATTTTTGGTTATCGAACTAGTATTTAAAGATTTAATATGATATTAAAGTTTAAAAATATTATTGCTTTATTTAGTACGAATATGGTGATATTTTAAAACTTTGATGGACTAATTTGCTTTATAAAACTTTTAAAAGATAAACTTAATGATGTAAACTTAAATATTGTATCGAAGTGTTTTAAAAAAATATATATATACATATTATTATTTTAATCATTACAGCGTCATAAATTCATTATTTTAAATTATTTTTTTTATAAAGACTAGAAGGGTGGAGGCACTTTGTGTCTCTAATAATTATACATAGAAAAATATTAAAAATTGTAGAAGATATAAGATTTTTTTTTACATTTCAAGAGTATAAATGTTCCCCAAAAGGTAGAGATCAAAAAAGTGGTCGCTAGAATATATTCCCTATGTATAGATTTGATTCAAAACATAATATATATTATTAAAATATACTTTAATCCTAAAAAATTACTGTGTTCAAAAGCATGTCTAACGCAGCACACTGATTGATGGTTGAGGGCCTATCTATCTGATAGCTAGCAAATTTAATAGTAGTGGGACTTTTTAGGAGAAGGGTGAGTTTTTTAAACTGAATTTTGTGCCTTGGAAAATAATAAGTGCCATGCTAATAAGTACTTATATTTTACGGTTTAAGAATCAACAAATAGAAAGCTTATATATGATGGGATTGTGTTCAAAATCAGGAAAGTATACACATACTGTTTACACACTTCAACTTTTCAATAATTTACTAAAGACTCTGGTTAATATTTTCTAAATAATAAATATTTGGGCTGGGAATAAAAAAATATGCACTTGGTGCACGGCAACATCCAATTAGCGTAATCAAGCTGTGGTGTGGACTGAGCTTATTTCTATGGCATTCATTTTATTCATTTAATATTTTGTTGTGCAGTACACTAAATTAGGTGGCGAAATCTTATAATAGTCTAGTACTTTTAATACAATTAAAAAAGGTTGTTCCGTAATAATTCCCTTAAGTTTGTTGTAGTTGCAAAATGTTTTATTCTATTCATAAGGTTATCTTTTTCTCGACTAATTAAAAAGATTCAAATGATATTTTTATCAAAAAATCATTTGTGCCAAAGATCATTTTCCTAAATAAGGAAAATAATCATTTCCCACCTAAGGTGTCAAAACGAAAAAAAGGAGAGATAAAGAGCATAGAAACAAAGTAATAAATGTGATAGTTTCTGTGATAAGAAAGGAAGAAAGATAGAGAAATACAAATATAAATTGACATATATATAAGAAGGATGTAAAAAATGGATGATAAAAATTCAGAACTTAATAAATAAAGCTTCTTTTATTTTAAAAAAAAGTAATTGTTTATATTTTTACCATTTTTTTTATATATAAAAAAGTTCATACACATTACTTGTCATATTAGTTCATACATCTTTATCCAAGGAAGAAGATATAGAAAGAGTGGGTGTATATAACATGTCAGATAAGGGAGAGAAAATCATAGTTGCTTGGTCTATGTAACACTATTTTGTGTTGGGTTTCTTGTGGGTTTGTTCACAAGGCTAGTAGTTTGCATGTTTGATAGATTTTTCATAAAACCACCAAAATTGAACAAGGTGACGAACCAGAAGTCGTGGGTGCTCCGTGGACGTGCCCATGTTTATATCGTGATCTTGGAGTTTGGTTGCGTCTGTTGGAAAATAACATTATTGTTTGGCAGTTGTTAGTTTCTTGACAACTTCCGCCCATTGTTCATGTTTCCATTTTCATTAACGGTCTAAATTAAAATCTCCCATTGTTCATGTTTCCATTTTCATTAACGGTCTAAATTAAAATCTCCAAATAACTTTTTGTTCACTTTGAATGTGTTGCAGCTCGTGAGTCCTGGTACATGGCTGTGCGATCTTACTCTTGATCGATATGAAGTTAGGGAGAAGAAGATAACCAAAAAGGTAGGGGAAAAAGATAAGGGCTTTACCTGCTTCTGCTGTGTCGTGATCATATCATATATCTTGATACACAAAATAATGGCTAGCTAGTGTGTTTGTTTTTGCACGTAAATAAAGAAACCTAATTTGGGTTTTTATGCAGAGACCAAGAGGGTTGAAAGCAATGAGCAACATGGACTCCGACTCTGAATAGAAGCAAGGCAACCAGTAAAGTTGTTTTCTGTAGTCTTAAGCATGGCAATGAGAAATGTTGAGATATTGTAAAGCATGGCATCGCATTCCTGCAAATACAAATTAGTTTCGCTTTCACCCTTATTTCTCATCCTTTTCTTTTTGGTCTAACCTCATTTTCTCACCTTTGTGAATTGTGAGGCTGCGCATGGTTTGGATTTCTGAAAAAATCGAACCAAACCACTATAAAACTTAGTTGACTGAGCTCTTTTTTATAAAACGGTTTGGTTTGATTTTTTTTTTTTCTTTCTCAAAAGTATTTGATTTGATTTAATTTGGTTATTCATTTCACAGTTATATGTAGTTTTATTTTTTCTAAGAACCAAATCAAATTAAACCAAACCTCTTTAGGTTTGATTTTGTAATTGATTTTCATTCGGTTCATTGTTTTTCAGACGCCTGGCCTTTTTCATTTTGGTCCAAGATTTTCTCACCAATGTTAATTTTTGTTCTGAGAAGCATCTCCCCGCAAATTATGACAGGAGTCCCATCTTCAGCTGAAGGATGACTTCAAGCTATGGCATATGGCCCATGGGTGTCGATTTTCCGCCTTATTGGCGGACCCATGGACGGACAGAGACTAAAAAAAATCTACCATAGTAAAAAAACCTCAAGAAATATAACTTTAACGAAAGGAAAAAAAAATAAAAATAAAATCTGTGGTCCATTGTTTCATTTAATATCACAACATATGCAGATGGTAATAATTGTTAAATTATTGCCTCTTTTGGACTCGCCTTTTTGTTAAATGACTAAATTATTAATGAAAAGCTTTTTTTATAATTGAACTGTTTTATGTTTACGGGAAATTATAGGTGGGGAAATGGCCTTTTTAAGTTTGTGAGTGGGGGGGTTGCAATTCTCTTAAATTTCATATCTCTAATAACGACAATACATGCTGTGTTGTTGGTGTTAAAATAAAATAAAAAATGCATTAATAAAAGGTGACTACTAAGGATTTCGTTATATGTAGAAGACGGGTTAGTATAATTTAGTATAAGACTTAAAGTGTAGTAGAATTGACTAGTAATCGAATCTGTGTTTGAAATGTCAACTAAAGGCAATTCTCCTTGGTTGAACTGCTTGACTTTCATTACGTGAGATATATCTCATTCTCTTATTTTTGTTGCGTTCTTTTCTCTCTTTGTTGAATGCCATTTGCTATGAAACCGAATGTGGACGATGTTGCTAGAGGAGAGGCATGAACCTCACTTCATACCTTTTGTTTTTTAGTTGCATTGCTCTAATAGATTGTAACATTGAGACCGGTCTATGTTTCTTTCAGTGTAGTATTTCAACTTACTAGTCCTTATATTGGTTTTAATTTAAAATTGTATGACTTTTAGAGGAACCAAATTTTAACTATATGTCTTATTTGAATTTTTTTAAGCTTGAGACACTTGAATCACCTGTGATGTGATATCATTTTGGTTTACGAGGAGTTAAATAGTTCTTTTTTCAAACATTATATTTCTTTAGTTCTGCAACAAACAAAATTAAAAATAAATATAATCGGGATAGAATAAATATAAAAGCTTTTATTAAAATTCTTTTTACATTAAAAATCACAAGGATATGCATTTAATAATTTAAACTTTTAATTCGCCACATTTTACTATTTACATAATAAAATATCACCCCCTTTTTCATATATAAAACTATTTTAACCATTTGATAAGAATTAAGAAAGTTGGTTAATTTAGCGATAATATTAAAAATTTTAATTTCAAAATTATCTTTAAAATAATTAAATTTTGTCATCTCACATTTTTCACTTAGTTAATTACCGTGTCTCCATTTTTTTAATCTAGACTTACTATCTTAACTATTATTTGTCATCTTCTTCATTTTATGAGAGAGAAAGAGAGTATTATATTATTTTTCCTATCCTAAGTCATGAAGATAAGGAAATTACTCATTCTAATATTTTTTTATAAGAAAAAAATTAATTAATAAAAATCAATAAAAAATAGTTAAATTGGTTAATTTTTACTATGTCACAATTTTTTTTTTCCAAAATATGATTTGAATGTGAATTGAATTGAATGATATAAATAGTAGTTAACTAACATTACACCTAATTCAATAGATAACTTTTTTACTAATGACGATTATAACTTGTATTGTTAATAAATCAATAAATACTTATAGGAAAGATAGCAGAATCCAAGAAAGGGGTGGGGTGGGTGAATTTGATTGTTAAAAAAATTGTCTAAAAATTCTCTTGAAGTAAAATTTTTTCCTATCTTAAGTCATGAAGATAAGGAAATTACTCATTCTAATTTTTTTATAAGAAATAATTAATTAATTAATCAAAATCAATAAAAAGTAGTTAAATTAGTTAATTTTTATTATATCACAATTCAAGTTTTATTTCCAAATATGATTTGAAAGTGAATTTGAATTGAATAATATAAATAATAGTTAACTAACATTACACCTAATTCAATAGATAACTTTTTCACTAATGATAATTACAACTTGTATTGTTAATAGATCAATAAATACCAATAGAAAAGATAGAAAAATCCAAGAAGGGGGTGGGAGGGTGAATTTGATCGTTAAAATTTTTTCTAAAAACCCTCTTGGATTAAAATTTTTCTAAAGATTTTCAATTAATGTTGAAATTGGATTGTGCAAGACACTGAGAATAATTTTATATAAAGTGTTTTCAATCGGACAAACAAATATATGATTAATATTTAGATATAACAATCATTTAAAATTAAGATAGGGTAAGAAAAACTTGTATAGTCTCCCAATCAACCGGATTGAGAATTTCACTTAATCTTTAAAATCTAAAATTTTATAATCACAACCACAACCACAAGCAATTTATTACTTATAGAAGTTAAAAGAATCTCACTTCTTGAATTCCAAGAAGTACCCTTGTAGAAACTCACTACAAGTAACATTTTCCTTTCAAGAAACCTACTCAAGAAATCAACAAAGATATAAAAAAAATGGTATCACCTGACTTGATGAACATAATCAATCAAAACAAGTGAATAGCTAAACTAATAGAATCTATAATCTTTACATAGGTTGATGATGACTCGTGTACTCTTGATCCATAATAAAAGATTCTTTAATTGATAAAATTCAGTTTCTCATGATCATCTATCAAAAAATCACAGTTCAATCTCTAACCTGGGTGTTTAGAAGTGTAAGAAATGAATCAGCCTTAAATTATGAAGTAAAATTTGTTATATAGAGTTTCACATTTGAAATAATCGATTATTTTATTTTTCATGAATTTGAAAATCCAACAAGAACACTTTAATCGATTATTTTTGAATCAATTATGAAATAATTGATTATTTAACAGGAAAATTGATTATTTTTAAAGTTTCCATAAAGCATTTCAAAAATAGGAAAAATAATCAATTATTTTTAAAAATAATTAATTATTTGAGTTAAAAGTTCAATTCAAATTATTCGCTTTAAGTTTTTCCAAATCAATTTTAAACATTGTTCTTGTTACTCTTGATCATCAACCATTAACTCATATACAATGACAAATCTAGAAAATTTGTTAAGTAAGGACAATACAATATTTTATAATATTTTTATTAAAAAATATAATATTATTTTAGAAAAATATATTTTTGTAATAAAAAATTTAATATACTTTTTTTTTTATAAATTAAAATTTTATCATAAATAGAGTAATAATTTCTTTTTTTTTTCTTTTTCTGTCTGATATTATATTTAAATGTGACTTTGTAATTTTTAGTGACTTATTTAATATTAGAGGAACAAAATGTTATAAATTATTAAGATAAAGATAATATAATTACTATTTGTTTTATTTTGTATCTCTTCTAAATTTTTATGTTCATTTAAAACAAAAATATTTTATGAGAACAACGCCTATTTTTATGAGTAAATTTATTTTTTTTATTAAATATGCTTAAGTAAAAAAAGATAAAACTTTGTGTGACAATTACTCTCATTCCTCTTAATTTAGATCATCTTCTACCAACACACAATGTACATATACAAGATCAAAAGAGTTAAAAATTAAAATAAAAATTGAAAAATAACATATATTTATAAACTAAATTATGACATCTTTAATAAATAAAGAAGCAATAAATCTTTCAGTCAAAAAATAAAGTATATTATAATAATAATAAAATTAAGACAATTTTATCATAAAGTGAAAGAAATTACACAATAGAATAAAATATAAATGAAATATTAATATATTTTAACATATAAGATATAAAAAATAATCATTATAAGAAATCTTACATATAATTACATATAAAAAGTGTCACTGTAATCTAGATTTACATTTTTTAATAATATTTCAATATATATTGTATCTATAATATTTGTAAAAATAGTTTTTAGTGACAAATATCATGTTTTTATAAGATGTGTATCATTACTTAATAATTTAATAAATTAAAATATAATATATATATATATATTATAAAAAGAAAATAATAATATATATAAAAATAGGAAAAAGTAAAATTTTACTAAGGACAACTGTCCCACTCAAATAGATCTGTCCCTGCTCATATGAAGATGATAAAATACCCTATTAATTTAACACTAAACACAAAGCTTAAACATGCACCATGTATATCATTTAATACAAGTTGCACTTTTTCAAGAGACTTATATGGTTACATGTGTAGTCATCAAAATTTTTAAGTCTAAGCTTAAACTTAATCAACAAATATATCCACTCGCATAAAGAATAAAATAGGTGTCTATTTGATATATTTCACAATAAAAAATATATATTTTATGAAGGAGTAAATTAGAAAAATAAATTATTATTATATTAAAAAGTGAGAATATCAATCACTTTAAAACATTTTTTAAATATTAAAATTACTTTAAGATAGAGGAAGTAAAAGAAAATTAATAATCAACGTATATTAAAATAGACTTCTTATAATTAGAAGGAAGAAAAAGACTACTCACTTATTTTTTATATAAAGAATCAAAAGAAAATAATTATTTTAGCTACGAATATCAAATTTATCTTAAATTTATAATTTTTTTTCAAAATTACCCTTCACATTAAAGAGGCATACTCTCTTTTGTTTTTCCATATATTTTTACTAACTTTAATTATTTAATCTTTCTTATTATAAATATACTTTTAGGTTTATATACTTCCAAAATTCTTTCACACAAGGCAAACATGAACTTTATCTACTATTTACTGAACTCAGGAAAATGACAATTATCTTATATATATATAAAATAATGCAAAAGAAATTATAAATTAATTTTTATAAAAAAAAGTAATACTAGAAACTCTCTAAAATATATTTTATTATTAGTTAAATTTATTAAAAATTATAAAATAAGAAGATGAGTTCGTTAAATAATCCATGTAACTTGTAATATATTGTGAATTATAATAAATTTTATTCAATAAAAAAAATGCGTTAAAATATGTTTTAAATTTTCCTTATACAAATAAGTGAGACTCATAAAATGTCATAATTTCTATATAAAAAATTAATCGATAAGATAAATTATGTTGTAAATAATATGTTCTTAACAATTTTCCTTATAGAAAGACCGACCAAAACATTTTATTTAGTGTTTGTTAAAAACAACACAGGGAGTAACTTACAACATTTATTATTATTGACTATAAATTTTTTTTAAAAAAAGTAATAATGATATAAAAATAATAATAACTACGGCA